TATGCCATTCTGGAATAGGCAACACTAAACATAGAAAAAACGACCAGTGGTTGCCAGGGCTTCAGGGGGAGAGTGGAGGAATGAATAGGGTGGAGCAAAGGGCGTTTGAGGTCGTGAAACTATTCCACATGACACCCTAATGGTGGATACGTGACATTATGCGTTTGTCAAAACCTGTAGAACTGTACAGCACAAAGAGTGAACCCTAATATAAATTATGGACTTTAGTTAATAATAATGTGTCAATACTGGTTCATCAGCTGTATCAAATGTACCACGCTAATGCAAGATGTTAATAATAGGAGAAACTGGGCAGGGGTATGAGGTAGTCTACAGAAACTGTCTGTACTTTCTGCACAATTTTTCTGTAAGCCTACAACTGCTCTAAAAGATAAAGTATATTATTAAAAGAAATTTATTGTAGCATATGATGAGTTCTCACCTCCCTATCTTAGTTAATAAATGTAGAATCAGTCCATTTATCAAAAATATTTTGAATTTACTTTGCCAGCTTTCAGACGTAATTTTTAAGTTCCTTCTGTGCAGACATATACACGTGTCTTCTCTGCAGGCAAATTTAGAATGTTTACCATAAGTAAATGAGGATATATACAATGGCCACAATAATATCATTATAGCAACTTTTTGGTTGTCTATGGGGTTAAGAGCTCAGCTGCTAACCCAAAGGTCAGCAGTTCATATCCACTAGCTGCTCCTTGGAAACCCTCTAGGGCAGTTCTGCTCTGTCCTATAGGGTTACTATGAGTTGGAATCAACTCGACATAAATGGGATTAGTTGTCTATACTTTGATATGTGTGGCAGAAATTAATGCAGGCATAATTCCTATGTTAAAGTTTATACTATTGAAATTAAAGTACTATTGAAATTATCAAAAGGAAAAACAATGTGACCTATTAATTTCTTCATAATGATTACTATTTCCTTGTTGCTTTTATTTATGATAGTGAACAGCCATTTATTTAACTGTTTGACTTAAGTATTATTTAAACATTTATTAAATATTTTATTCCAAATGTGTTTTTATTATACTTCGATTTTCTCCTTTTAATTAGTTTTCTGTTAAACTGTTGAGCAACATTTTTACATTTGCTTTAGGGATTTTTACTCCAGATCAACACTTGAGATTTTTGGAGTTTTATAAGAAACTTTGTACATTGGGTTTACAACAAGAAAATGGACACAATGAAAACCAGATTCCCCCCCAAGTCTTAGAGCAGGAGAAGAAATATATTTCAGTACGGAAGAACTGTGCTTACAACTTTCCGGTAATAAATAATATATTTTTATTAACTAAGCATTTTGATTATAACTTTAAAAACATGTTAGTAGATAACATTAAAGATATTTCCATATTCAACACTTGCTGCTTTTTATTATGTGCGGTGTACAATAGGTACTTAATAAATATTTTTGGAATTTATATTTTTCTTGAGGTATAAATCAGACTTACATGAATACATTTGTGATTTCTAAGTACATTATGATTCTGAGGACGTGATTTCAATTTAAGTGAAATGATTACAATATTAGGTTACTGATACATGTTTTTCTCTCCTTCACACTCATCTCCTCCCTCCCTCCTCCACCAGGCCATGATTGTCTTTGTCAATCCTAAAAACTTCCACATGGAACTGTATTCTACATTCTTCTGCCTTTGTCATGACCCTGAAGTGCCAGTCAGATACACTATTGCTATTTGCTTTTATGAAGTGAGTATGAAGACTTGATACCACTTCACATTTGTTGTTAGTTCTGTGTACGTGTACTAGATGACTTTGATATTTTCTACACTTTTGTTTACAAATTTATTATGAGATACAGGCTCCACATTTCTTTCATGTCCTATTATTAAATCTTATTTAAAATTTCCCATAGTTCTCATCTCTTTTTTAGTATGTTCATAGAATTCATTTGCACAAATACATTCTATTAATTTATAAATCCATTAATTCAGTTTATCTTTACTAAGTGCTTACTTTAAGCCAGGCATTGTGTTAGGTGCGGATGTTGCAGATTTCAAAGTAAAATCAGTTTTATATGCTTTGTTATATTTATACTTTACTTTGTACTTACATTTAATAACTTGAGAACAAATGGAAAATTGAGAGACAAATTGTTTAAATTTATTATTTTTACTGCAAATGCATTGTGTTTCATAAGCATAGCTTTTAGATTCAACTCTTTATAAAATAAAAGCAAATGTGATTTTAAGTTTTTATCATGATATAATTACCCTTTTTAACCCTTTGAAGTTGAAATTTGAGGCATATTTCTTGTAGAGTTGTAATAAGTATGTATATCCTATACTTAACAGTAGACACCTATGTGATGTAACTTGTCAACTTCAGAAATACAGTTATTTATATGTAGCATAATATTTCCTTCCCTTTTAAGATGTGTAATAAATATTTCTTTATTATGAATGAGAATATTTCATCCCCTTCCTTGTTCCTAAGTCAGAGCAGTTAGATTAGTTGAAAGTGCAAATATCCACAGCATTATTATAAATGTTACTTAAGATTCTTTTGGTTGTTGGGTATAGTCTTTGCTTCTTAAAATAATGCTTTTTTTTCTGGTCATGAATGAAATATATGTTGCTTGTGCGACATCTAGGAAAGATTCCTTTAAACGGTGCACTTAATTAAAAACAATTCCAGTGTTGTACAATTAAATCATTTTTGTAAATATACCTATAGAAATCCTGCTCTTGGACGAAGGTGAGGTAGGAGGACACTGGTCAGCTAAGTGGAATATTCTCCTCCAAGAAATATTTAGTGGGCATTTAGGCTGGGTTCCTGTGCAGGAGCCCTGGTAGCACAAACAGTTAAACGCTTGGCTGCTAACCAAAAGGTTGGCAGTTCGAACGTACCTAGCCGCTTTGTGGGAGGAAGACCTGGCTATCTGCTTCGGTAAAGATCACAGCCAAGAAAACCCTTGGGGCAAGTTTTACTTTGTTACATGGGTTTGCTATGAGTCAGAAGTGACTCAGCACACAACAGTAACGGTGTACGTGTATAGTTGTCTAGATCAGCGATCTCCAGAGAAGGCTGCACAAGACGGGAGTCTGGGAATGCAATATTAGAATTTCTATTTATGTTTATCTCATCCCTTTAACATTTTATCTCTATTTGTTTTATAATGTACATAATACATTGGCACCCTATAGGTAAACATATATTGGAATATGTATATAAAAATATTTTGTGGTAGGAGTGAATTTGTAGACGGTTGATCTTGCTATTTGCTAGGTGACTAGTTTTCCATATTCTCACAATCATGCCACGATGCCATGCAGGTAGGCTAAGAATGATGCTCCACTTCATAAAATGAAGGGTTAGTCTAAGTTTGTCCTTTTAAATAATGGTGGCTTTAAATTTTCCTAATAATGTTGTTGCTAGGGTCTGATGATTACTACTTTACTATGGTCTAACTTTTTTCTTGTTTTTCAGAAAAATAATATTTTGAAAATATTTTCAACAAGTCAGAAACAACCCTGTAGAGCAGAGATTTTAAAAATTCTTCCTTTATCCAGGAACAATTTTTTTTTTCCCAAATAAAAATGTTACTCAGAAGCCCAATGTGTCAAGTAAATAAACGTGAATTAGAAACAATATATTCCTCCATTGTGGCTCTGAGTCTGTTTGAAGGAAAGAAAACCTGTTCCCAGAGCAGATGGTCCAGTCTGGACCCTCCCATCTCTTCTCGTGCTGATCAAAGTCTTTGATGGGGAAAATGAAAATGGTTTTGCTCACTTTAGAGGTCTCACTACCCAGAGATCACTGTGGGCCTTCAGTAGAACTTGCCCTCTCTGGGAAGCTGTGAACTGGGATGAATACCGTATGCCTGGGGTATCCTTTAAGACCCTGTTGGCTGCTCAGAAACTTTAAAATGTGAACCAGAGGCATCCATGGGCTTATTATTGCTCATTATGTGAAGGCTATGACTCTGGTAAATCCCATTCTTCTGCTCTTCCTACCACACACTACAGTACCTTACAAGGCAGATGACGTGTGCAACTAACTTTTCTGGAAATATAATTTTATATTTATTTTGTAGCTTAGTTTTGTTTTATAAGTAGGTAATAGGGATATATTTTTAAAATTATTACTATATCTAGTCTCAAATCTGAGAGACTTTTTGCTATATTTTAGGTGTCTAAACTTCTGAATTCTGGAGTATATTTAATACATAAAGAACTAATAACACTATTACAAGACGAATCACTGGAGGTAATTTTTTTTACTCTTTGGTTTTCTTTTGTGTTAAGTTTGAATGAATATATCAGTGCCTTTTTGCTTTTTAAAACTTCTTGTGAATTGCATGAACTCTTTCAGCTGACTGGCCCCAGAAACTTCAAATCAATGTACCATTATCTCTTAGACTGGAAATTGAGAAGATTTTAAAAAATATATTAGATTTAAAAATATATGTGTATATTTGTTTATTAAGGAATATTTGGGAAATGCAGAAAAGTAGACAGACAAAAGAGCACCCTTAGTTCCAATCACTGTTACTATTTTGGTATGTTTTTTCCATTCCTCTATTTTTTCTATATAATGGTTTTATTTATTTTTCACAATTGTAATCATATGTTATATCACATTTTGTATCTATTTTTCTCTTAGTGTTGTTTGGGGAACATTATGTGTTTGTGAAGATCTTTTAAATACTTTATTTTGATGCTGTATTTAGTATATCCCACTCACCTAAATGAGTACTGGCTGGCTAAAGCTCAGCTCGTCTACATTTAGACATCATTGAGGGTATTATCTGATTTAAACAGCCTTTGAAAAGTTGGGAGGTAGTTTTTGAGAAAGTTGGTTGTGTAGCAGTAACTGTCTCAGATTTATACTGTTTGAACACCATCAAGAGGCAAATATACTGATCCATTTTCAAAGAGTGATTAATCAAGGTAATTGATCATGTTTCTCAGACTTTTCAGCAAGAGGCTGGCAGAGTAAGAAAACAGAATCCCCCAAAATGTTGTTTGGTAAACAATACTATTTCTGTATCAAAATTGACCTGTGTAAAGACATAGATGAATTACCTCATCTAGATTAGAAAAATATAGTAATCACTGCAATAATTCTATTAAAAGGTACTAGATGCCCTTATAGATCATCTTCCAGAAATCCTAGAACTTATGTCTGCTGGTGGAGAAAGCAGTGTTCAAGAAAATAAGGTAAATACCATTGATCAAAGCAATTTCTGAACTTAAAAGTAGTATCTTACTCGACAGGGTTGTAGTGAGGAATCAATGAAAGAAAGTATGGAAAACATTTAAAATCGGGCTTGCCACATAGTAGGTGCTCAGTAAATGTCTGTTGGAGTTTGAACAGCTTGAATTTTCTTTACAGTTCTAATATTAATGTAATTCTTATTTATTGTCCTCGGAGTTTATATTCATACTTCCAGTTTTCATTAGCATTGATGATTATTCCAAGAATATCAAATAGTGAGGACAAAGGAGTTGGAATTTAGATGGTCAAAGCTTGCTAACAATAATATATAATAATTTTTACTTTTTAGTTTGAAGGGTTGCTATTGCAACCAATCCGACAGGAAGAATAATGATTCCCAATCTCTACTTCAAAATGTGACCTCCAGTAATGTTAAATTTTACTTGCGGATTTCTCACGGAGTATCTCATTTCACCAGATAATTATCTCCCTGTGATAACTGAGATGCCTCCTAAATTCTGAAATGAGCAAGAGTATCCCCCCCAATGTATTGTAAGACTGAATAATTTGACTGAATGCTACAATTACCTTATTTAATCGTCATCGATTCTTTTGACACTTGTTCTTTCTCAGTTATCGACTCTGCCTGACTTGATTCCTGCACTCACAGCAGCTGAACAGCGAGCTGCAGCCTCTTTAAAGTGGAGAACTCATGAGAAGTTACTACATAAATATGCCTGTCTGCCACATGTCATATCAAGTGATCAGATTTATTATCGTTTCTTACAAAGGATGTTCACAATCATGATGACAAATGTGAGTTAACCCCTTTTCTCTTATGCTTTTGAACTCATGGTTGATTTGAACTATCAAATTCTTCACATTCTCAAAATAGCTCATTCTTTTCTGCCTAGGAGGATGTTATCTTCTCAGGTACCCAGGGAGGAAACTCAAGTTTCCCTTTGCTTCTCTGCTAATTTTCCCTTTGATCATCCTCTTCCTAGCTGAAGAAAGGAATGAACAGGTGGCACCTCCACTTACCTTATGTTTATATACTACCAGGGAGAACGCAGACTCACTTAAAACTCTGTATAGTTCTTTTCAAGAGGGAGGTTGAGAGGAGTCAGTGATCTCAATAGCAAAGTACCTTGTGCTCTTACGTACGCCTTTTATGTAGCTATGCCTTACCTCAACTGTGTTGTTTTGCCAAGGCATCCCAGGGCATCTTGATAATAGTTTGGGTACTTTTTCTTTTACAGTACCTAAAGGGTGACTAGGAGCCCTGGCGGTGCAGTGGTTAAGAGCTTGACTGCTAACCAAGAGGTTGGCAGTTCAAATCCACCAGCCACTCCTTGGAAAGCCTATGGGGAAGTTCTACTCTGTCCTGTAGGGTCTCTATGAGTCAGAATTGACTATGGTAACGGGTTTGGTTTTTTTGGTTTTAATGGGTGACTGTGTAATAGATGGAGCTTTGGTGACCCAATGGTTAAGTGTTCAGCTGCTAACCAAAAGGTCATCAGTTCAAATCCACAAGCCGCTCCTTGGAAACCTATGGGGCAGTTCTACTCTATCCTATAGGGTCGTGTCTTAGTTGTCTAGTGCTGCTACAACAGAAATACCACAAGTGGATGGTTTTAATGAAGAGAAGTTTATTTCCTTATAGTCAAAGTAGGCTAAAAGTCCAAATTCAGGGCATCTTCTCCAGGGGAAGTCTTTTTCTCTCTGTCGGCCTTCTCATCAGTGTACCCCCAGACTAGGAGCATCTCTGCGCAGGGACCCCGGTCCAAAGGGACGTGCTCTGCTCCTGGCACTGCTTTCTTGATGGTATGAGGTCCCCCTGTCTCACTGCTCACTTCTGTCTTTTATATCTCAAGAGATTGCCTCAGGATACAATCCAGTCTTGTAGATCAGATCCTGCCTTACTAACACAACTGCCACCCATCCTCCCTCATTAACATCATAGAGGCAGGTTTACAACATACAGGAAAATCACACAGTACCAGGAATCATGGCCTAGCCAAATTGATACACGCATTTTTTGGGGGACATAATGCAAACCATGACAGTCGCTCTGAGTTGGAATGGACTCAATGGCAATAGGTTTGGTTTTGGGTTTTTTTTTTTTTTTATACATTTTTTTTTTTTTTTTTTTTTTTTGGTAAAAATACACATAGCCAAAGATACGCCATTTCAAAAATTTTTTTTACATACACATTTAAGTGACATTGACTACGCTCTTCTAATTGTGCTGTTATTCTCACTTAAGATGAAGGCTTACAGGACAAAATAGTCTCCCATTTAACAGTTACTACAAATGTTGCCCTATGACAATGGTTAACAATCTCACAACACATCAACAATATCCTTACTCTACTTTGTGTTCCCTATCATCAGCTTCCTACTCCCCTTCTGCCTTCTGGGCCTTATCACTGGACTCCGGTACCTCGTTACTCTCATGGTTTTACTGGGCTGTCCACTCCCAGGCTGAACAGTGAACCTCGAAGGTAACTTCGCCACTGAGCTAAAAGGGTATCTGGAGGCCATACTCTCGGGGTTTCTTCAGTCTCCTTTAGGCCAGTAAATCTGGTCTGTTTTTTTTTTTTTGTGAGTGAGAATTATGCTCTGCATCCTTCTCCAGCTCTGTCCAGAACCCTCTGTTGTGATCCTGGTCAGAGCAGTCAGCGGTGGTAGCCGGGCACCATCTAGCTGTACTGGACTCAGTCTGGTGGAGGTCTTGGTAGCTGTGGACAATTAGTCCTTTGGACTAATCTTTTCGTTGTATCCTGTTCTCTTCATTCTCCCTTGCTCCCGAAGGGATGAGACCAGTGGAGTATCTTAGATGGCCGCTCACTGGTTTTGGTTTTTGATGAAACAGATAAAGATTATATGAAAAACATGGATGCCCTACTATGAATAACCTTATAGTTAGAATTAAAAGCAAAAAAAAACCTCTCAAACAGGCTTTATCATTCCTCAAAGCAGGGTTGTACTCAAACCTCCTCCTAGAGTTAGTTGTCTACCTTTTTCTCAAAAATTTCCCAAGGGAAATTATTTAACCCATGGTTCATTGTATATTTAATGTGACATTCTACTACCACTTATTGAACTATAAAAAAGTTCCACATAATGTTTGTTTTACAAACTGTTAAAAAAGTACTTTGATTTCTCATTGTTTATTCTCAGCAAACAATGAGAACATAATGAATTCTGGCAGCCATCTCAAAAACCCAAAAGCTGTTTTATATTCAAAGATTAAGAAAAGAGAAAAAATAACATTATTGATGCCGTTTACAACTTAAGTAAAAAAATAATAGGCACACATTTCATGAACTAATACCAACCCCCCCGCCCAAGTTTATTTCATGTATCAAAGCTGGGAGATTGAAGGTTATATTATAGATGGAATCATTTTAAAAAGTGATTTTGAAAACAGTTTACATCCTTATCAGTTTTATATTCAATAGCATGGATATACCATATAGGAAATTTCACATAAAATTGGAAAGAATTAAAATTAATTCATTTTATTTAACAATTCTTTGAGTGCCTGCTCTGTGTCAGGCACTGTTCTAAGAGCTAGGTGTATAGAAGCAAACAAAACAGAATCTGCTCTGATGGAGCTTACATTCTAAAAGTGGTAGTGACGGTGGGAGTGATAGGTAATAAAATAAAGATAAGTAACAGGTGTGATAAGAGCTATGAAAAATAATCTTAACTGTTGGTCTCAAGTTAGTTACTTAGTAGACATGTTTGCATTTAGGAAGCTAAGAATACATAATTATTCTGTATTGTTAGCTTCTATCAGAAAAGAGAAGTGATTTATAACATAGAATGTGAACAAAGTACATTTACAAATAAATGACTTAGAACATAGAGTGTGAACAAAGCCTGAAAGATTTGTTTTTTTTTTTTTTTAAATAAGAGTTAATTCCACACTTAAAGGACATATATGATTATTATAGCATATTTTCCATGATGAAAGAGGGCATTTACATATTCTGTTTTAATATTCCCTGGAGAAAAGAAAACTCTATATTTTTAGCTCCATATCTAATGGTCACAGTTTGTCACTCATTCAACAAAATTTATTGAGCACTTACTGTGTGCCAGGCACCATTCTAGGTGTTAGGAATACGATAGTGAACAAAAGAGAAAAAGTAGCTCTTCTCATTGAGCTTACATTCTACTGGAGACATGCAGTAAACAAACACATGTTTATATGTGTTATATAGTATGTCGGGTGAAAAGTGCAGTGAAGAACTATAGAGCAGAGTGGAGGGGGACAAAGTGATGGAGGGTATGAGGATGCTGTTGTGGATATAATGTTCAGGAGAAAGGTACACTTAGTGTAGAGGCTTGAACGAAGTGAAAGAGTGCTCTGTGTAGCTGTCTGAAGCAGAAGCAGTTCAGAGAAAGGGAATAGTCAGTGCACAGGCCCGGATACAAGGGCATGCTTGGCTGTGTGATGAGCAGCAAGGAGGCCAGTGGGAGAAATGGGGTATGAGGCTGGAGAGCCTGGTCTACAGCACACAGGGCCTTGAAGGCCATGATGGTGGGTTCAAGATGTTATCCTCTCAGACAAAGAAAGTCTTTGGGAGGTTTTGAGTAAAGAAATAACAGAAGCTGACTTTTTTTTTTTTTTTTTCCTACTTTTGTTATAAAATCTTTTAAAGATGCAGAAAAGCAAAGAAGATACTACAACGAACCCCGGCGCAGTGGTTAAGAGCTCAGGCTGCTAACCAAAAAGTTGGCAGTTCAAATCCACCAGCCTGTTCTTGGAAACCCTATGGAGCAGTTCTGCTCTGTCCTAATAGGGTCGCTATGAGTCAGAATCAACTCGACAACGAGTTATATACCCATCACCTAAATTTAACAATTGTTAACATTTTGCTGTACTTGTATTTTCTGTTTCATTGTGTGGAAATATTTTAAATTATACCAGTTGCCATCTAGTTAATTCCAACTCATGACAACTCCGTGTGTTTCTGAGTAGAACTGCACTCCATAGGGTTTTCAGTGGCTGCTATCTTTCTGAAGTAGATCACCAGGCCTTTCTTCCAAGGTGCCTTTGGGCGGATTCAAACCACCAACCTTTTGGTTAGTAGCTGAACACTTAATTGTTTGTGCCACCCGGGGCAACCAGTTTAAATGATAGATGTCATTATATTTTAGCTTCTAAACATTTCAATATTCATCTGTAAAAGATAAGGACATTTTCTCATATACCTATAATACTATTATTATGTTTAACAAAATTAACAGTTATTCTTTAATATAGTTTAATATCCAGTCCGTATTAAAATTTTACCAATTATGCCTTATATGTCTTGTTCTATTTCATACAGCATCCATTCAAGAACTGTATATGGCTTTTGTTGTTACATCTCTTAATTTTCTTTTAATCTAGAATAGTTCCCTTGGCCTCCCCAGCCCCACTTTTTCATGTCCTTGAATTGTGAAAAAGACTTGGGCAGTTGTTCTATAGAATGTTCCACCTTCTGCATTTGTCAAATGGCTTCTTTGTGGTGTTAACTTCATCTGTTCCCCATGTTTCTTGTAAACTGGAGGTTAGATCTAAAGGCTTGCATAGATTTAGGTTCAGCATTTTGTCAAGAATACTTTGTAAGTGTTGCTGTGTATTTCACAATGCATCACATCAGGATAGTGTTCCCCTATAAGTGAACTAAGACAGGCCGTGCAGGTGAAGACAGTCATATTCTCCCACTGCACAATTAGGCCTTCCCCTCTTGTGATCAGCATTGTAATCTGCGTGTGATACTTCGACACTCTGAATATCCAGTTTTCTGTCAACCTTTTATCCATTAGTTTTAGCATCCACTGATGATTCTTGCCTGAATCCATTACTTCATTAGAACTTGCAGTGCAGTGACTTTTAAAAATTCTAGCATTTCTTCTTTCTTTTTGATGACATTCTTCTTGTGAAGAAATACTTTCCTTCATCCATTTGGGTTATTTGATTACCTTGAAATACACTTCTAATGGAAAGGCAGGGTTAGTTCTTAATCCCTTCACTCTAATGAGCAATTTTAAGAGCCAAGAGTTGTTGCATTAGCCACTTCCATTGATGGTGACAAATGAATTTTGATTTTCTTTCTTTTAGAGTTATTATGGACTCATATTAAATAATGTTTTAAGAAATTACAGTTGTTTTTCTTTGTGCTCAAATTGTCACAACTTCTTCAAGCTGGCTTTTATATCCTGCCAACATGATTCCATTTACTACTGCTTGCGTTCTTGATTTCTGACCCAAAAGATTGATCTACTTATACTGTAAACCAACCAAAAAATCGAACCCATTGCCATCAAGTTGATTCTAACTCATTGTGACATATTATACTACCTGTTGCAACCTGTTGCTGTCGAGTCAATTCCAACTCATAGTGATTCTTACAGGACAAAGTTGAACTGCACCGTAGGGTTTCCAAAGCTATAATCTTTACCAAAGCCGACTTCCACATCTTTCTCCCGTGGAGCAGCTGGTGGGTTGAACCGCAGACCTTTTGGTTAGCAGCTGAGCACTTAACCACTGCTCCACTAGGGCTCCTTTATAATATACTGTAAGGTATAAAATACACATATTTTCATATGACTAGTATGTATGCATTTGAAATTTCTATTAATATACGCAAGATGAAGAAAAAGAATAGCATGCTTTTTATTTAGTTCATTTATCTAAAATTCATTTTTCTTAAGCCCAGTGGTGTTTCTATTTATATACATTTTTCTTAATTTTGTGTTCTAAATCATAGTGAATATCCTTTATTTTTTACCTTCAAAAGATTAAAAGCACCATACGGCATAGTACCCAACAGACTGGAAATAATTTGTGTAAAATGTGAGAGGGGGAAGCAGGCAGTACTTTCTCAGCAATGTAAAGTCTCATTCTATTTGAATTTCAAGGATTCCCACTATAATAGTCTGAATCTTCAGTGATTGGATATTATAATATTTATATGTAAGTCAAGAAAGATGGTGAATGTGAATTTCATACTGGACCCAATATACCTGGTGGAGAGATTTTTTTCTAATACATGGGTTGGACCCAAACCCAGTGAAAATAGATGGTTGAATTTATTAGGAGTCGAGGGTTCTACCCAGTGGTGTGACAGAAGTTCAAAGGAGTTTAGAGTGCTAGTAAAAGTGATTGACATGGTGCCCCATGGATTCTAAGCTTTATCTGTGTTGTGGACCAGAGGTTTCAATGAATCACACTGAGGTTGAAGAGTAGCTAATTAAGCCAGAAGAATATATGTGATCATGGGATCTCTGAATTTACATTTTAGAAGTGGCACGATTTTTGGTGATATACCTGACAATGGTACGCTCTAGCAAGTGTTTGTTAAATGAATGAATGACAGGGTCCAGGGGAATGACTAAGAGAATGGGTGGTTGAAGTGTAATCGAGGAGGATGTTAAGATGAGACTACACAGAAGTGAGGGTCAAATATAGATCAAATCTGGAAATGACTGTGCCAAATTAAATTAACTTTGAAATGTGATATATTAGTTGATTTGCCTGAGGGACATCAGTGTCCAAGTATGAAGATACTTCCAGAGGGCTATAATGCAATGATTTGAGAGGCCAAGGAAACTGCTCTTACTTTCAGCCAATAAAGCTTAATTTGTGGGGCCAATTTATACAGAATATATACTCCTAGACTACTTTAATTGTCTTTCTTATTTATTTCTTTAAGAATGTCTTGCCTGTCCAAAAGGCAGCATCACGAACCTTGTGCATTTTTCTACGTTATAATCGTAAACAAGAGCAGAGACACGAAGTCATTCAAAAATTAATTGAACGTAAGTGATTATTGTCTTTTTTTTTTTATTTAAAGGAAGTAAACATACTAGTTGGTCTTAGTTACATGTGGCATACATTGTGTATCGTTTTGCCATGAGTAATTAGTTTGACATTGGTAGATAGCTGGTGTGTCTTTTTATTTGAGTTTTATGGGTTAATTTTGTTTGTACATTTTAAATATCTTTATGACAGAAGCATATCTGTGATGAATGAAAGTAATAATTACTCTGGGCCTTCTGTTTGTACATTTCTGCACTTGAGAAATTAAAATATGCATATACGTACGTTGAAACCCAGCTTCTACCCTGAAATGTTTGATGTTTTTATTAAACTTTATTATCGAGTATAGGCAGGTAATAAGATTTTCTGCTTATTAGAGTTTACTATTCTAAATATGAATTGCTTCTTTTAAAAAAATTAGAGTTCATAAAATTTCATTTAAGAAAAATTATGTTCCGTATACCCTAGTCTTTCTTTTTGTAGTCTATTTTAATTCAGTTTTCATTTTTCAGTGGCAAGATCTCACACTTATTTTGAAAGAAGAGTCTATTTGTTGTTAGGTATTAAGAATTTTGCCTTTGAACATTTAAATGAGAAAATTATCCTTTAAATATTGACCTGAATTATTTTTAATAATACTGTATTTACATATGACTTTATTCGATTTAAAAGATTTTTAAATAAACTAGAGGAAGAAACAGTTAATTGGATTGTTAAAGACTTTGAAGTTTGAATTCTTGCTGGGTTGTTAAGCAGCTATGGGACTGTAATCTCTCAGAATTTCAGTCTCCTTGTCTATAAACAGGGATAAGTATGTTTATCCTATTGAATTGCTTTTTAGGATTAAATGAGATAATTTGCGGTAAATTACCTAACACATGGTAGGTGATCAAAAAATAGATAATAATCATTCGATAGTTAATAAATGTTTGTAGAATTGAATGCAATGTTTAATAAGAAAGTGGAACAACTAGCTAAAAGCACTTTTGCACGTTTAAGAGGTGTCAGTAATTTGATTTTTTTCTCTTGTCTCTTGCTAAAATTGTGCGTATGAAGAAACCTGTCATGGCTTTTGTGTGTCTGATTTTGTCATGTAATTTCATGTAGGACAAATTAAATTTGTAACAATATTTGTTGTTGTTTTTAGAACTGGGCCAAGGAAAAAGTTATTGGAATAGACTTCGATTTTTGGATACCTGTGAATTTATTATAGAGATCTTTTCCAAGTCATTTTTCTGTAAATATTTCTTTCTACCTGCTATTGAACTGACACATGATCCAGTAGCAAATGTGAGGTATGGTACTGACCCAAGAAAATACTTGGAAACATGTTTTTTATATATTTACTATCGTGAATGTACTCAAAATCTTTTCCTAGTTGATTTAAAAATCAAATGAAGAGTTTGTACTTGCTTTGAAATTCTTAGCAGTCTTAATTGGTGGGTATCAATGGACTTGGAAGTATAATCTCTCAGCACTGTCTCAAATCTTTTGTTTTATTGGGTAGAGAGAGCAGTAAGTCTAAGCCAGATTGGCAAGCTCCTTCTGCCATTTGAATACATACATTAGTGTCAGGAGATGTTGCACAGATATTATTAGTATATCGAGGACTAAAGAAATAGTCAGCAGCCTTTCACTTCAAAAGTAGGCTTGGAGAACATCTATCCATTTTTAGGGGCCCATTTACTGAGAGAAGGAGGGCTGCTTTGAAGTTTTGTCTTGCTTTTTCCTAAGTTCATCTGCCTTACATTTTTGAAATCTAGTTAATGTTAATTGGATTTGATTAATTAGCTGTTAAATTAGATGGGACAGGACTGAAAATGACTTGCTTGGAAATTGAAGAGAAGAATAAATATATTTTGCACTTTTTTCCTCCTCAAATCAGCACTTTTTTTTTTTTAGGTTATTTGTAGTTGTTTTCACTTTTTATTTATATTTTAACAATTTCTTGTTATAAAAAAGTATATTTAACAATGATGTAATTTTTAACAATCAAAATACTTTTTAACAATTACCTGTAATACATATATATTCTTATAAACATTGTTTTAGGGTATATACACAGGAATAGATTGGCTAATCTTGATTTTGCATGTCTTCAACTTTAATGCATAATGAGAACTTACTTTCCCAATGAGTGCGCAAATTGAAAATTCCTCCAGCAGGGAATCATTGACTTTTTAAATTTTCCCACTTGTATGGGTGTAAAATAGTATCACATTGTGTTTTCAATTTTTTTTTATTGTACTTTAGATGGAGGTTTACAGAGCAAATCAGTTTCTCATTAAACAGTTAATATACATATTGTTTTGTGACATTGGTTGCCAACCCCATAGCATGTCAACACTCTCCCCTTCTCAACCTTGGGTTCCCCATTACCAGCTTTCCTGTCCCCTCCTGCCTTCTCGTCTTTGCCCCTGGGCTGGTGTGCCCCTTTAGTCTCATTTTGTTTTATGGGCCTGTCTAATCTTTGGCTGAACGGTAAACCTCGGGAGTGACTTCATTACTGAGCTAAAGGGTGTCCGGGGCCATACTCTTGGGGTTTCTCCAGTCTCTGTCAGACCAATATGTCTGGTCTTTTCTTGTGCGTGCGTGTGTGTGAGTTAGAATTTTGTTCTACATTTTTCTCCACTTTCTGGAACCCTCTATTGTGATTCCTGTCAGAGCAGTCGGTAGTGGTAGCTGGGCACCATCTAGTTGTGCTGGACTCAGTCTGGGGGAGGCTGTGGCCAAATAACCACATTGTTTAAAAGTTATTTACACATATTGTTTAAGAGTTATTTATAATGGATTGGAGAGAATTTTAAATCCTCAGCTGTTAGGTTTCTGTCTTCTAAGTTCTATGTCTCCATTCCAAATTGGAAGAACTCAGATTGGTAGGAAAGAAAGATGCCATCAAAGTCAGTTGGCCAAAGGTTCCCTAAACAAAACCCTAGAGCTCCCTGCTAAGTTTTCACATGCTAGCTGCATTTAGTTTTATGAATTTAGTTTTGTGAAGAATGTGCATCTTTTATAAACACCATGGTAAACATTATAATACTTTTTAACATGAAGAATTGGCAAGTCAGTAAGCTAGCATAGATTGTTCACAGTCTTACCAATGAGAGAAAGTATACCAGGAAGAATTGTCAAGATGGGCATTATTTTTAAGGGGAATAAATTTGAGGTGGGTTTTTTTTGTATTTTTGGTATTAGAATGTACAGAAATTACAAGTGCCCTGGCTTTGTTATCTTTTTTTGTTTCATAAAAATTCCAAGTACATCTTATCTGGGCTGTATAAGTAAGAGGTAGAATTTCCTTGACTTGAGATTTAAAGTAAATTTAAATGAACCCATTGGAGCCCTGGTGGCACAGTGGTTAAGAGCTATAGCTGCTAACCAAAAGGTTGGCAGTTCAAATCCACCAGCTTCTCCTGGAAAACCCTATGGGGCAGTTCTACTCTGTCCTACAGGGTTACTATGAGTCGGAATTGACTCCACAGCAACGGATTTGGTTGATACAGTAAAACCTGTGAAAGCTGGAACCTGTTCAAGGCAGAAACCTGTCAGAGAAGGAAAACTCAAATATTTTCCACTAATAGAGAGAGATAGAAAAGTGGTAAGAGTGCACCCTGTCAGAGATGGCAAACTTGCAAGAAACAACGCTGTCCCATCGAGTCCCAGCTCTCACAGGTTTCACTGTAATTCTTTAGGATTTAGCTCTTGCTAATCAAGTAATAAGTCTGACCATATTGTTAACATTTTACAAGTTGAAGTTGTAATTCTAGAAAAGCAACTTCCAATGTGGTGAGTTATCAATTATGAAGAAGTTGATAAAAATTATTTGAAAGGAAATGAAATCATCTCTGCTCTGGTGAATGTGACTAATAGTGTAGCTTTGACTCTATAAGAAAGCAGTCTGTTAAGTCAAAAATCAAATGAAGAGTAATCAAACGCCACTCCATGAATTTGGTTGATTTGTTGTGGTTGTTAAAAGATCATTGTGTGGTTCCCACTTGGCTACCTGGGCAGTTGCCAGCAAAAGAAATGAGTCCAGCAACACCGTGTACTCAATGGTCTTTGGATTCAAAAGCCCAGCTCTGTAGAGATATGCAGATAGAATAAAAGGCAATCATAGTCAAGGGTGATAGGATCACATGTTGGTTAGGAGGACAACACACTGCGTGAGCTGAAATTCCAGCTCTACACTACCTGTGTGCCCTTGGGCAAATTATAGAACCTCTCTTTGCTTTGATATCCTTATACCTAATTCGTAGGGTGTTCTGAGGAATAAATACCTGAGATAATGTACATGAACAAGTTAGCTTACCTGTAAGAATCTTATGGCAATAAATCATAAATGTTTTCTAGACTTGCCTTGGGTTATAAAGAATGGAGAGTGCCTATATAGATGGTTAAGTGTTTTTGTTTTTCCTTACGTCAATATTTAAAATTTAAATTCACCGAATCTACACAGTATCAAGGCTGGAAGAAGACTACTTTGTACTCAAAGGAGCCTAAGCTTCCAGAAATGAAAAAAAAAAAAAAAGATCTCTTTGGGGGAATTCCCACTGCTGTCAAGTCAATTCCAAGATTAGGACTCCTTAATTAAAGAAAGCATCACCAGGCTTATCGGTTATCTATGGTGAGCTCTGTGGGATTGAGACCATTATTTGGACTTCCAGTGCTGAAAATTAGAAGGAGAGCTTGTTTTCCCTTTTTGGTTGAATGAAAAGCACATTTTGGAATATATAAAGAATCCTCAGCTGAAGGCTCAGCTAAGAGAGCATCCTGGAAACTCCAGGACTGGGACTTAGCTGTCTCAAGGTTTGGCATAGAAATAAAAACTGTCAACAATCTGGAGAGCACTAGATGAAAGAATGAATACAGCAGCCATAAAGGGCAACCATCTAACATCTCTCTCTAAAAAACAGCCCTGGCAAAGAAGTGGAGTTTTAGCTGAGCAGAACATAACATTTCCTCTAAACAACTCCCTCCTAGAAAGGTTTTCTTTATTTTCCTGGATGTCCTTCTATCTCACTAGCATTCTTCATTCTCCTTGTTTCTTCCTTTTCATCCCAAACTAGATTGCGGTCTGGTGCCTTAGACTCTATCCTTTCATATCTTTTCTTCTCAAACTACACTCACTTCATTGATGATCTCTCTAATCTCATGGCTTAAATAGCATCTATATGCCGAAGACTACTGAATATGTATCTCCAGCGTGTACATCTACCCTCGACAAGAGACTTATTGATCCAACCTCCCACTTGGCATTTCCATTGACTATCTGATAGGCACCTCAAACTTAATATGTCCAAAATTAAATCCTGATCTTCTTCATCCATGCCCAAGCCTTCTGCAGTCTTTTCCATCTCAGTAAATAGTCATTTCGCCTTTCTACTTGCTTAGAACAAAAACTTAACTCCTTTCTCTCTATCATCTCACCTCCGATCCCTCAGCATATCCTGCTGTTTGCAGAATATATCCAGAATTCAGTCACTTGTCATCACCTCCACTGCTACCACTCTGGTTCAAGCCACAATCATCCCTTGCCTGAGTTATTGTAGGAACTTGCTCTGTTGTTTCTCTTTTCTTGTCCTTGACCACCTACAGTCTAATCCTAACACAGCAGCCAGATGATGCTTTTAAAAGTAAAAGATCATTCCAGGTAATTTCACCCCTCTGCTCAGAACCCTCCAATAGCTTCTCATCGCGTTCAGACTAAAAGCCAGGGTCCTTACAGTCCTAAAAGGCCCTGCACGAGCTGGCCTCCTGCTGCCCCCTTACTCTGTTCTGACCACAATGGCCAGCTTGCTGACTTGGGGCAACATATGAGGCAGGCCCTCCCTATAGGGTGTTGCACTCACTTCCGCTGCCTGTCATGCTCTTCCCCAGATGTTCACATGGCTCATTCCCGAATTTTCTTTAGGTCTTTGGTCAAATGTAATCTCAGTGAAACCCTTTCTGACCACCTGATTTAAAATGGAAATCCCTCCCCCTGCTTTATTTTTCTCCACAGCACTTAGTGCGGTCTGACAGACTGTACATTTTAGTTCTTAGTTTTCTCTCTCCTGCCCCATACTAAAATGTAAGCTCCATGAAAAGAGAGAATTTTGTTAGTTTTATTCACTGTTGTATCTCAGCACCCAAAATAATGTTGGGCACGTCTTAGTCATCTAGTGCTACCATAACAGAAATACCACAGTGGATGGTTTTAATGAAGAGAAGTTTATTTCCTCACAGTCAAAGTAGGCTAAAAGTCCAATTTCAGGGTGTCACCTCCAGGGGAAGTCTTTTCCTCTCTGTCAGCCTTCTCTTTGGTGTTCCCCAGACTAGGAGCTTCTCGGCGCAGTGACCCCTGTCCAAAGGACGCGCTCTGCTCCTGGCACTGCTTTCTTGATGGTATGAGGTCCCCCTGTCTCTCTGCTCACCTCTGTCTTTTATATCTCAAGAGATTGCCTCAGGACACAATCCAGTCTTGTAGATCAGGTCCTCCCTTACTAACACAACTGCCACACATCCTCCCTCATTAACGTCATAGAGGCAGATTTACTACATACAGGAAAATCACACAGTACCAGGAATCATGGCCTAGCCAAATTGATACACACATTCTTTGGGGGACATAATGCAAACCATGATAGCACATAATAGGCACTCCGTATGTATTTGTTACCTGAATAAATGAACTCCCAGGTTAGCTAAAGCTTGAATTTTCTTTCAGTTTCATGTTATTATTATTCTTAGTTATCAAATGCACTCAGAAGTAAAAACTGTTTAATTTATTGTATGTAGAATGAAACTTTGCTACTTATTGCCCAAAGTGAAAGCTGCTCTGAAGATCCCTGCAGATAAGCATCTTCTTCAGCAGTTAGAAATGTGTGTAAGAAAACTCCTATGTCAGGAAAAAGATAAAGATGTCCTGGCTATTGTCAAAAGAGTAAGTATCACTCTTGCAACTGCATTTGCATTTCTTGTATTAAGATACTGTTAATTATAGCTTCACTATTTCACCTGATAGGATAGCAATAAGTTAAAATAGTAACTTCCTTGCTAGAGTAGTAAGAATGAGAAAAATGATTTGGTTGATATGTGGTTTAACTGGATGTGAAAGTTACTTCTAAAGGGCACTTAGATATTAAACTTTTCTTGCTAGGAATATAAGCTTCACAAGGGTGTGCTTGACACAGGTGCTTAATAAATACTGCTCAGCTAATAGTGAGTACTTCATTCACCAGACCGTATTAATAAGTGATTGTAATTCAGCACAACTTTGTTGGTAAAATTGGGAAAGTTCATTGTATAGACACTTAGCCCTGGAAAGGCCCTCAAGTTAATTCAGTGATCTGTTTGGCACAGAGGTGTAAAGTGGTCGGCCAGGCTGGATGTAGTTCTCTTACCTGGAGTGCTTTCCGTTTTCAACAATGTAACACGTTTCTATGGTTTTTGTTTGTTTTGTTTCAACATGTGATCTTATTGCATGAATTGCTTGGGAGTGAGGAAAACGAAAACAGTAAAAATTTAAGTCAGTGACGTTAAACCTTAAAATAATTTACAGTCTTCAAAAACTATGCTTAATCTGTAACTAATATGTTTATAACATTAAATCGAATTAAAGTGATTACTTTTATGAATCTGAATGTCAACTTCATAGTTGACAGTTATTTGTAGTGAGAAAACATAATGTTTTAAATAACTTAGCACTGATGGTATTTATTATACTTGAAAAGAGAATTTTTTTTCTAGCAATCATTGACATGTCACATGAGACAAATGAGAATCTTTTTAATAAAATGAATTTAACCTAGTATTAATTCGTATAATTTTATTTTACTGAAATGTGAATTCCTTTCATTAACTAACCAGAAATACTCAAATTCTGGACATGCATCTCTCTCTCTATATATATATCCTAGCTATTTTTTTTCTTCATCTAATTACAGAAGTTTACACAGTAGAGTTAACTTGTCAAAACAATATAGACGAGAAGGTTAGTTGATTTTCTGAAATAATCTGTTAATTCAAGAGATAATACAAAATAAACCTGTAAATAGGTACAATGATGATCTAATTAAATTAATAGATCATTAATCCATAATGGATGATTTTGGAGTACAGCTCTTATTTGAAGTACATGTCACACTAGGAAGTCAAGTTGTCCCATGAAAATGCTGTAGTATAATGTTTATCAACAGGTATTTGTATGGGAACCCCTGAGGAAGCTATACAAAACCTTGGGATAAAAATGGAATAGCTTACCCTAACCAGTATTTTTAGGTGGGAAGTAATTTTATTTTAAAAACGGATATTTCATGGCATAAATTATAAAATTTCTATAAATTTTAGTATAAACATAAAGCTTCAAAGAAATTTTGTGTTTGCAGTCGATTCTTTGGGCTTATGAGTATATGAGTGTACTTTAGTCATTAGAGTTATGCCTGTAGAATACTTTTGAGAAGCCTCTCCCACTGTCAGAGACAGAACCCTGGGTTAGATGAGCAAAATAATTTGTTTCAGACTAGTGTATTCTGAAAGATAAATACTAAATTGAGAGAATACTTTCAGAGCAGAGTCTATTGATTAGAGTGACCAAAAATTTCTATGGAAGGGAACTAAGGATTTTAAGCCAAATAATAGAATATAGTTTGCTTCATATAGATTTTGCTAAAGACTTTTAACATTTTCAAAAACTGTATTGTATTTCTGAAATTCAGAAAAGACTGACACTGGAAGTTACTAGAAATTTTTAAAATTGCATGCATTTATGTATTTCAGATATGCTCCCATACTTTTTCTTCTTAAGGTTAAAAACTTTTAAAAGTTAAATGAATCCTGGACAATATGTAGGGGTTGATTATAAATACAGTGTAGAATTGAAAGAAACTTTAGAAGTTTCCTAATTCAGCCCTCCCCTGCCTAGTGCACAAGTCTCCTCTTTGAACCTCCTTGTGGAAAAAGAGTCTCTTTGA